AAAAAAAGCAAAACCAAAAACACTATTACAAAAATGAAAAGGCAAGCCATGCACTAGGAGAAAATATTTAAATAAATATTTTTGATAAATCAATGTCTCCAAAATACATAAAGAACTCCTACAACTCAAGAATAACTCAATTTAAACAGTGGCAAAACGATCAACAATTGAATCTAAAAATCAAAATAAATGAACAAGGAATCTAATGAACAAAATAAACTGATCAATAAAATAGAACCAGAGGCATGGGAACATGGAACAGACTGAAGAATCTCAGAGGGAAGCAGGCAAAGGGGGGCAGGAAGAGATTAACCAAAGAACTTATAAGCATACTAGAGGCATGGTGCACGAAATTCATGCATTTGGTGGGGTGGGAGGTCCCTCAGCCCGGCCTGCGCCCTCTTGCAGTCCAGGACCCCTTGGTGGATGTCTGACTGATGGCTTAGGCCCATGGCAGCATCAGTTGGACATCCTTAGTGGTGCTATGGAGGTGGGAGAGGCTGCCACCACTGCCGCTGCGCTCACCAGCTGTGAGCCCAGCTTCTGGTTGAGTGGTGCTCACCCTGTGGGAGTGCACTGACCACCAAGGGGCAGCTCCTGCATTGAGCACCTGTCCCCTGGTGGTCAGTACACATCACAGCGACTGGTTGTTCCGCCACCAGGCTGAAATTGACTCTCCGACATCCCCGAAGGGGGTCCCAGATTGTGAGAGGGTGCAGGCCAGGCTGAGGGGCCCCACTGGTGCATGAGCAGGGCTGGGGAGGGATGTGAGAGGTTGGCCAGCCTGGGAGGGGCCACGGGAGGACTCCAGGGTGTGACCGGCCTGTCTTGCTCAGTCCCAATCTGCCAGACACCAGCAGCAAGCTAACCTACCGGTTGGAGCGTCTGCCTCCTGGCGGTCAGTGCACGTCATAGCGAGCAGTTGAGCGGCCTTAGCATATCATTAGCATATTACGCTTTGATTTGTTGAACGGTCGACTGGATGACCAGACACTTAGCATATTAGGCTTTTATTATATAGGATATGCATTACCTATGGACACAACAATAGGGTGGTGAAGGCATGGGGTGGGGCAGGAACCGGTGAAGGGGATAATGGGGAGGAGGGAAGGGGTGGACAGCTGTAATAACCCTAACAGTAAAGATTTTTTTAAAAAGAAAAAACAAAAATTGGCAAAACGTCTAAACAGGCATTTGGAAAAAAGAAGATATACAAATGACCAAACAACAAATTTAAAAAATGATCAATATTGCCCTGGCTGCATGGCTCAGTTGGTTAGCCATCATACTGTGCACTGAAAGGTGGCTGGTTCGATTCCCAGTCAGGGCACAAACCCAGGTTGCAGGTTTCATCCCCAGCTGGGGTATGTGTGGGAGGCAGCTGATCAATGTTTCTCTCTCACATCTCTCTCTCTTTCTCTCTCTCCCCTTTCCTCCCCCGCACCCCCCCCCCAAAAAAAAGAAAACACATTTTAAAAAATGATCAACATCACCAGTTATTAAGAAAATGTAAATCAAAATCACAATGAGATGCCACTATCTAGGTACTGAGTAGCTAACATTAAGGTTGACAGTGCATTGGTGGGGATGTAGAGCAACTGTAATTCTCCTACATTGCTGGTAGGAATGCAATTTGGAAAACAGTTTGGCAGTTTTGTACAAAGTTTAACACACATTTGCTACACGATACAGCAATTCCACTCCTAGGTATTTACTCAAGAATGAAAAAATATGTCCATACAAATACCTACACTTAAATTCATAATAGTATAAAATTGAAAACTACCCAAATGTGCATTAGTAAGTGAATGAATAAACAATTTATGTGTATATGCATATTTTCATAGGATGGAATATTACTCAGATATAAAAAAGGAGCACACTGACCAACAACATGGATAAATCTCAAAAGCATTATGTTAGGTGGGAAAAGCTGGGCACAAGAGACTATGTATCGCAAGCTTCCGTTTAAATGAAATTCTAGAAAAGGTAAAACTATAGTGACAGAAAGTAGATCAATGGTTGCAGAGGCAGGTGGAAGGGATTGACTGCAAAGAGGCTTAAATGCGGTGGTGGTTACACAAGTATAAACATTTGTCAAACGCATCAAGCTGTACATTTACCATTGGTGAGTCTTGTTCTAAATCACATCTCAATAAAACTGGTAAAAAACTGACTCAAAGAAGTAACCCGGCTGATGTGGCTCAGAGGCTGAATGTCGACCTATGAACCAGGAGGTCACAGTTCAATTCCTGGTCAGGGCACATGCCCGGATTGTAGGCTCAGTCCCCAGTAGGCATGCAGGAGGCAGCCAATCAATGTTTCTCTCTCATCACTGATGTTTCTATCTCTCTCGCCCTCTCTGAAATCAATAAAAATATATTAAAAACAAGAAATAGAAACATTTGAGTTCATAAACCTACATAAATCACAGTAACTTAAAAACAATCCAGTCCCACATAGTTCATTTACTTATTCACTCACTCCTTCACTATAGATCGAGTTCCTACAGTATACCAGGCCCTGTTAGACAGACGTGTGGGTAAGGCAGCAGACAAAACAGGCCAAGTCCTTGCTCTCTTGGAGGTTATGGTTGTGAGGTGGCCCTAACAATGGTTAGGGAGGAAGAAGGCACACACGAAAACCGAAAACCGATGCCAGTGGTGGGTCCTATGGGGGGAAAAGGGGAGTATGGGCTGGGGAGCTGAGGGGATGCTGCTGTGGTTACATTCGAAGAAAGACCAGATAGAAGTGGAGGACAGGCCTGTCCCGGGAACAAAGACCAGATAGAAGTGGAGGACAGGCCTGTCCCGGGAACAATAAATGCAAGGACTCTGAGGAGGGGTATTTGGGAGTTTTCAAGGTACAGTCAGTGAACCAGTGTGGTTTCAGCAGGATCAGGGAGGGGAGAGCAGCGAAGTGGAGGCCAGAGCGCATGCTGACGGCCAGAACATAAAGGATCTTGGATCCCATTCTCTGTGAAATGGAAGCCATGGACCTAAGCAGAGAAGCAACACAGCCTGACTTTGTTTAAAAGAATCTTGCTGTGGGGGAAAGAGAGGGGGAGGGGAGGGAAGAGGGGGAGGGGAGAGGAGGGGGAAGCGAGGAGGGGGAGGGGAGGGGTCAAAGGCATAAAAAGGGACACCTGTAATACTCTCAACAATAAAAACAAAGCTTTTAAAAAAATAAAAAATAAAAATAAAAGAATCTTGCTGGCAGCTGTGCATAGAAGGTTGGGAAACTTCCAGAAAGGGCTAAATGGTAAATATTTTAGTTTGTAAACCCTATGGTCTGTGGAGAATACTCAACCCTGCTGTTACTGCATGAAAACAGCCATGAATAATATGTAAATGAAGGAGGATTAGCTGTGTTTCAACAAAACTTTACAAAAACAGGCAGTGGGCTGGATTTTACCTTGTAGTTTGTCAACCCTTATCAGCCGTGGGCAAACTACGGGCCGCGGGCGGATCCGGCCAGTTTGAAATGAATAAAACTAAAAAAAAAAAGACCGTACCCTTTTATGTAATGATGTTTACTTTGAATTTATATTAGTTCACACAAACACTCCATCCGTGCTTTTGTCCCCGGCCCTCCGGTCCAGTTTAAGAACCCATTGTGGCCCTCGAGTCAAAAAGTTTGCCCACCCCTGCCTTAGACTATAGGGGACAAAGGGTTAAGGCAGGTAGGCCAGTGAGGAGTCCCTGCAATAAAACTGAGCAAGAAGAGATGGTCCCCTGGACCCGGTGTAGCAGGGGGGTGGGATGTGGTCAGACTGGGGAAGGTGGAGCCAACAGGATTTGCAGGTGGATCAGACTTGGGGGATTGCAGAAGGATTGCATAGTTCCTGACGACTGAGGAACTATGCCCTGGGAGAGGATCCGGTTGGGGTAGGGAAAGAGATTATAGGTAAAAAATCAAGAATTTGGATTTAGATTTGTTATGTTTGGGATATCTCTTGGATAGCTCCTGAATATATTCAGAGGTTGGGTTTATAAAAATAAATTTCAGAGTATTCATTTTGAACAGATGGTCTTTAAAACCATGGGAACGAATGAGATCTTGGGAGCTCTCAGAGGGAGGGAAAAAAAACGGTTTGAGGGCAGGTTTACAAGGACAGTCTCCCAGATTGTCAAGGACAGATAATCCTAGTCTTATACTCACTGTCCCACCACACAGAAGAGCACACTCCACCCTCAGCTCATGAGGCCAGCAGGCCTTGGTACCCAGATAAGGAATTCATAGGCCAACCTCACTTATGAATATATACATATTTTTAAAAAGTCTTACAAAGTAGATCTAGCCGTTTATAATATGATCAAATTGTATTTATCTCAGGAATGCAAAGTTGGCTGAATATTATTCTATTGATGTAACTCACCACTTAGCAGATTAGAGAAGAAAAGAACCCAAGATCATTGAGTAGAAAAGTGTTTGATAACCCCTCTTGATTAAAAAGAAGAAAATCTAATTTTAAACGCCGAGCGGGAAGGGATGGGGGCTTCCTGAAGCTGACAAAGGGTGTCTACCGGACCTGCCAGACCTCACTGAGAAACTTCAGAAGCATTTCTTAGAAAGAAACCAAGAATGAAACAAGGGTGTCTACCACTATCATTTTATCTGATATGGTGCTGGAGGTCCTAGCCAGTGTAGCAGGATTTGAAGAAGGGACACAAAAACTGCCATTATTCACAATGACGATTTGCATAGAAAACACAAGATAAGTGATCAGAAATGAGAGAATTTCTGGATACACAATCAATAGGTAAGTCATCAACAGAGTCCTGACACCATCAGTAAGCAGTTAAAATATGTGATTTAGAAGAGAAGCTATTTAGCCACCATCCGCAGCTAGTAAAGGTGGGCTGGGGTGGAAGCAGGATGAGTTCAGGCTTTTGGTCATGGGCGCACCCCCTCTCTAGGATGGCGACGCTGTGGCAGGACGCCCACCCCAGTGAGCTGAGTAGCAGTGTCCCCGCGCCTGGCCTGCCGGCGAGACTCACCATGGGCAGCACAGAGGCCTGCAGCGAGGCGACGATGATGGGCTTCGTCCTCTTGTCCTCCTGGCTTGCTGGGGGCAGGATCTCCACGAGGTTCATCTCCTCTTTGACTTTCTCCCCCAGGCAAATCTGAGCGGGTGGACAACAGGCGGGCACCTCGTCACCCGAGGGCAGAGGGGGGAAACCTTGTTGCCTCTGTAGGGATCCGACTCCCCGCTCCTCTCTTAGTGGTTTGAGTCCCTCCTCCCCGCCTTGGGGTGGGGGAGGGGGTACCCACCGTATTGAGCAACACCTTACAGTCCTGCTCGCCCTCCTTCTGCGGCTTGAAGGTCCAGGTCCGCTTCTCCTGGTTTAACTCACAGCCTGGAAGGGAGAGGCAGGGAGTTGGGGGCCGTGTCCTCCAGGCCGTCCTCCCCTGGCGGACGCGCCAGCAGCCCGTGCGCACTCACCCCAAAGCTTGGCTGTCCCGGCCTTGTCGGGGGTGCTGGTGCGGCTGCGGTTCATGGCGCCGGGGGAGCCGGCGGTGCGCTGCGGTGGGGCCTGGGGAGGAGAGGCCCGCGCAGGGCGGCCCAGAGCGCGGCGAGGACCCGCCACCCGCTGCCCGCCCCGCACGCAGGGGAAGTGCGCGTCGTGCGCTCCGCGGCCCCGTCACCCGGGCGGCTGGCCTCGCTGTGGCTGCTTGGCGGGCGCGGGTCGCCCGGGCCGGTCCTCGGAGCACTCCCTCCGGGCTCTCACCGCCTAATCGCGCCGCGCCGGCTGCCCCGCAGCTGTTATGAGGCTGCGGAGGGCACGGGTGGTGTCCAATCAGCCCTAAAGGGAGGCCCTTCTCCCGCCCGCCTGCCGTCCTGTGCCCTGAGTCGCGGGGCACCTGGACGGCCCGTCAAAACGCACGTGCTGCCGCCGCCGGCTCCCCATTGAGCAGGCCGCCCGGGCCCAGGCGTTTGCACTTGTGAGCGTCCCCAGGTGAGGCGGGTGCTGCGCTCCGGGACGCGCGGGATCACGGCACTTACGGGGTCCACCGCGCCCGCCGCCCCGCTCGGAGAGGCTTGGCCACCGGGGGAAGCCCTGGCGCTCTCTGTGCTCACCGCTTTCTTCTTGTCCCCCCTTCCCGTGTGGGTCCCCGGAGAGGAGAGTCCTGTTCCCAGAAGGATGGCTTGTCCCGCGGCCAGGAGAGGGGGTGGCAGCTGGTGAGGAATCCGGAGAGAGCCCGCGCACAGCAGCCGGAGCCCCCATCCGTCCCGCCGCCGGGCTCCGCCCCCTCCTGTAAGTTTCGCTGATTTTCAGCGGAGGCGCCAGCAATTCAACCGGGAAGGGATAGTCTTTCCCGGAGCGGTGCTGGAGGGCGTAGCTGGATACATCTCTCTCTGGAACCCTGGATGGAGCTTCTGCTGTGCGGGAACCAGCTTTTTTCTTTTTTAAAATGTCAATTTTATTGAAAAAATAACTTACAGCCTAACCGGTTTGGATCAGTGGATAGAGCATCGGCCTGCGGACTGAAGGGTCCCGGGTTCGATTCCGGTCAAGGGCACGTACCTTGGTTGCGGGCACATCCCCAGTAGGTGGCGTGCAGGAGGCAGCTGATCGATGGATGTTTCTCTCTCATCGATGTTTCTAACTCTCTATCCCTCTCCTTTCCTCTCTGTAAAAAATCAATAAACTGTATTTTTAAAAAAATGAAGACAAGGTTTAGAAAAAGAAAAAATAACTTACATACAAAAATGTACTCATCTAAGGTGTCTGATTAGATGAATTTTAACAAATGTACTCACCTGTGTAGTCCTCACCGCAGCCCTCACTCCCATCATTCCCCCAGATTTTCTTGTTTCCCTTGCAGTCAGTCGCCTCCCCTTCATGCCTAATGGGTATTAAGCAAATGCCTGCTTTCTGACACTACAGATTAGCATCGACTCTTCTGGAATTTCATGCGTAAATAGAATCATAGGAACTGTTTGCCCTCTTTCGCTGAACAAAACGTGTTTGGGATTTACTTATCCACATGGCTGCTGGTATCAATAGTTTGTTTTTGTTGGGTAGTATTCAATCTGTATATCCAGTCACCTGCTGGTCAGCTGCCAACGTGGCGAGGCTACTGTATCCAGTTACTCAAGCAAACACTAACGCAGATGTGTCTGTAAAGGTGTTTTGTAGACATGCTTAACCTCTGCCATCAGTTGCCTTTACGTAAAGGTTACCCTCAGTAATGTGGGTGGGGGTGATTCAATCAATTTAAAGGCCTTGAGGGCAGGACAGATTCCCCTGAAATTCTGTGGACTGCAGCGTCAGGTCCGCGAGAGAGCTCCAGCAGGCCCTGCCTGGAGACCGTGCTCTGGGTGTCAGACTTGCCTAGTCAGCCCTCATAGTTGCCTAAACCAATTCCTTGTAATACATGCCTGACTGATACACCTGCTGATGGATATTTGGGTAGCCCAGGTTTAGGCTATTCTGAATACAAATGCTACGAACATTTGAGAGCAAGTCTTTGCTTGGACATAGGTTTTCGTTTTCCTTGGATACATGCCTAGGAGTGGAATTGCTGGGTCATTGGTAAGCATTTACCAGACTATGTAAAACTATAAAACTATTTTCTTGTACATTTTGCGTTCCTACCAGCAATGTATAAGAATTCCAGTTGCTCTACAACTCCGCCAACTCTTGGAATTGTCAGTCTTCCTAGTTGTAGCCATTGTAATGGATGTGTATAGTGACATTTCTTCTGGCTTTTATTTGTATTCATTTGCTGATGAGTGATGTTGAGCATCTTTTCAAGTGTTTGTTATTTGTGTATCTTCTTTTGTAAAATGTCTGTTCAGATATTTTGTCCATTTTTAACTTGGGTTATTCTTATTGAATTGTAGGGGTTCTTTTACATATCTTGGATACCTGTTTTCTGTCAAATATATATGTATTCCATAGATTTTTCACTCCTGTCTATAGCTTGTCTTTTCATTGTAAAAATTATATCTTTTAAAGAGAAAAATTTAAAAAAAATTTTTCTTTTATTTTTTTCTTTTGTCTTGTGCTTTTGATGTTTAAAGAAATCTTTGCTTAACCTAAGGGTGTGAGAGTTTTTTCTTAAGTTTTCTTTTAGAAGCCTTGTGGTTTTAGCTTTTACTTTTACATCAGTAATCCATTTGAAGTTAATTTTTGTGATGGTGTTAGGCGAGGGTCATGGTTATTCCCCCCACCCCCAAGTGGACATCCAGTTCTTCAAGCACCATTTTTGGAAAAAGACTACTCCCTCTTTACTGAATTACCTTGGCACTTTTGTAAAAAATCAACCATATATGTTAGTCTGTTCCATTGATCTGTCTACCCTCATGTCAACACCACACTATCTTGATTACTGTAGCATTAGAGTAAATCTTGAAATCAGGTAGTTGAGTTCTCCTACTATTCTTTTTAAAAATGTTTTGGCTAGCCCTAGCCGGTTTGGGTTTGTGGATAGAGCGTCAGCCTGCGGACTGAACGGTCCCAGGTTCGATTCCGGTCAAGGGCATGTACCTTGGTTGCGGGAACATCCCCAGTACCGGGTGTGCAGGAGGCGAAGATAGATGTTTCTCTGTCATCGATGTTTCTAACTCTATCCCTCTCCCTTCCTCTCTGTAAGAAATCAGAATGACGTCCAGAAGGTCGTTCGGTCTGATTAGATATTACACTTTTATTAGTATAGATATGGTGAACTGCATATATTGATTTTTTGAATGTTAAACCAACCTTGAATTCCTAGGATCAAGCCCACTTTGTCATGATATCCTTGATACATATTTCTGAAAATGATTTGCCTGTATTTTATTAAGGAATTTTGCATATATGTTCATGAGGGATATTGATCGTTTTTTTTCTTTTAATGTCTTTCTCTATCAGGGTTTTGTTATCAGGGAAATGTTTGTTTCATAAAATGTTTGGGAAAGTGTTTCCTCCTCTGTTATTTTCTGATTTTTGTGCAATTTCAGGTGCTCTGACCGCAAGAGCAGGGACGCCTCCTTGGTGCAGGGCACGCTGCCCTCATCTCCTTACTGTCCCATAGGACTTCTCTGCTCTCTCCTGGAACCTGGGAATCATACTAGAACCCTCTTCCCTTCACTCTCCACATCCAATTGGTCACCAAGTCCTGATGACACCTTCTCCCCCAATATTTCCCAACTCCCCACAGCCCTTGTCTTGGTTCAAATCCTTTTACCCACTAGCTGATGGGTTAAACAAAGATTGGTCACTAGCCCGGCCATGGCTCAGTGGTTGAGCATCGACCTATGAACCAGGAGGTCAGGGTTCAATCCCCAGTCAGGGCACATGCCCAGGTTGTGGGCTGCACCCCGTGTGGGGTGTGCAGGAGGCAGCTGATCAATGATTCTCTCTCATCATTGATGTTTCTCTCTCCCTCCCTCCTCTCTGAAACAAACCAAAAAAAAATATATAAAAAGATTGGTCACTAGACTGCTTCGCAAAGTGCCCTTGGTGGAAATTTCTGGCTTTTAGGATGAAATCACAACTCTTGTACCCCACCCCTCAGTCAGCGCTATTTCTGCGCCTCCTTGAAAGGCACCGCGTTTCATGCCGGGCTTCTGCCCTTCCCGGCCTCTGCCCACGGGCTCGTCTGGCGGGACTCAGCTGGGGGCTCCTCCTTCGCAGCCGCAGAGCACGATGAGCCGCGCCATGACCATCCCTGCCGGCCGGCCGGCCCACTCCACTGGTTCTTCCCGGCCAGGGGCAAGTCCGGGAACAGCGCCCCAGGGAGCACCGCCGCGGGTCCTGCGTGAGGCCGCGGTGCGGTGCGGTGCGTGTGAAGGCGAACCTCTACCGCACAGGTTCGTGCGGTCCGACCCCGCAGGAGCCCAGGTCGGGTTTCCCCAAGAGCGCAGCCGTCCAGCTGTCAACCTCGTCCCCCATCCCAGGCCGCCCCCCTTTCACCCCCCTAAGCAGCGACACTGCGGGGGCGGTCGGCGTCTCGAGGAGTCACAACTGCGCCTGCGCAGGGCGACGGCGGCGGCCGGAGGCAGACGCAGGTCGGAAGCGCGCCTGGGTGCGCAGTGCCGCGGCGACGCTCGGACGCTGCGCGCAACCACTTCCGGGGCGCGGCGGCTAGAAGGGAAGTAGTGCCGGGGCGGGGATGGCCGCGTTCCCTCGGCCTTTCGCAGGGTCCGGGCCCGATGCCGGTGGTTGCTGCTCTTCCCTTTTGGTGGAGAGCTATGGCCACGGCGTGAGTTTAACGCGCCCAAGCCAGGCGGCCGGGGCTCCCTGCAAGGGCTGCCTCCAAATCAGATCCAGCCACTCTACCTTCCAGCTACCATCTGCCGGCCCTGCCACCGTCCCAGACACACTTCCTTCCCATTCATCCTCATCCTTTCCACCCGGCCCAGCTCGTAATGAGCGCGTGTTGGTTGCAGAGACTGGAGAGGGAATGGGGAAAGGGCTCCCTCAAATAGGCAGGGCGGCGAGGGAGGCTTCAGAGCGGGAAAGGGCAGGTGGGCAAAGAGCCTGCAGCTCTAGCCCGAGGAGGGTCTGCAGATGGTGAAGGGCAGGGGCAGCTGTGTGGTTGGAGGGGAGAGTTCCACTGCGCACTTGAGGCGTGGTAGGTAGTTTATAACTCGATTTGCTTTGTGAGGAGAGCCCCAGACTGCAAGCTGTTGAAGGTGGGGAATCGGTGTCCTGAGAAATAGAAATGACAACGGCCTCTGTATTCTTAATTAAGAGAGGATGCTTTACCTCCATTGCACAGTATAATCAGTCCTTTAAGAGCCGAGGGGAGACGGCTTGGGTTTCCTCACTTCCGGACCACTGGGTTAAATCCCTTGTCTGATTTATACTTCAGTGGGAATAGAGAACCCTTATTTTGGCAGAGCCAACAAAATAAATACAAACGTACACATACATGCTACAATAATCTTCAGTAAAGACTTCAGCTGTTTTGTCAAAGGTCTAATTTAGTAGGGAACACAGTTGAAAGCACTTGACTTGATGACCATAGAGCCCAGGACAGCTTAGAAACGAACAAAGTAATGTTTAAACAATTTTTTAGATTAACCATTTTTTTCTTTTTGTTAATCCCCACGTGAGGATATTTTTCCATTGATGTTTTGAGGGTGGAAGGGAGGAGAGTCAGAGAAACACTGATGTGAGACATGATTAGTTGCCTCCCACACAAGCCCTGGCCAGGGCCGGGGATCGAGCCTGCAACCGAGGTGCGTGCCCTTGACTGGAATCGAGCCTGTCCCTTCAGTCTGCAGGCCAA